CCGTCCCCCATAGATTTTCTCAATAGCCCTTTTTCTTTATCCACAATAAATCTTCTCATTTCATTTTTTAACAATTAAAATACCACAACTACACACACTTACTTTATTTATTACACCTCACCCACCTCATTTAATACACTCCACCCATTTTCATTAAGAGTATTATAGTAAACTTTCACCTTTTTCAACTCTCCTTACAAATCACCAAAAGTAAAAATGAGAACATATTAGGGGGACGGAGAGACTAATATATAATTCTAATAATTATTTAAAGAAGTGCATTGGATGGTGTGTAAAAATGAAAGTGGACAAATACTCTGGGACGGAGAGAGTATTTTTCATGGTTTCAAAACTAATTTTTCAATTTTATCATTGACATCCCAAAACTAACATTACATTTTTATTATCTATTTACCTAATTCATAATAAATATTACTCCCTCTGTCTTGAAGTATTTGTTTATTTTTGACCTTTTCGGTCAAAATTGATAAATTTTGATTCCAAATTAAATGAAAATGATATTAGATATTCGTACAAAAATAGTTTTATTAGATTTATTATATAAAATATTTTCAAAATATTATTTTATCTAATCAAAATTCAATATATATTTTATTTAATTATAGATTAAATGTTGAAAATAGTTAATTGAAAAAGTCAAAACTAGACATTACTCACGGACGGAGGTAGTACTATATAAGTCTACTTATTTCTAACCATTTTTTGCTATCTACCCCTTTTGCCCTCACATGCTATAGACACACATTGCATTCTCTCACACTCTCATTTCAATATCATTACAATGAATAAAATTTGAAGGTGAAAAACATTCTAAAATTTGTGCTCCCTACTAATTTGTGCGAAATGTAAGTACCAGTGTTTAGTTATTACTCCCCCTTTTAAAATAACTTCTATGCACAATAAATGATAAATGTGGTAAATTTTAGACATTTTTGACGTGGGTAAAAGTATTTTATAAGATATGCAAAAAGTGAAACGGAAACATATTTCTGGAAAAGAGGAAGTATAACAAAGAGTAAGTATATATATCCTCGTTGGTAATCTCAGGTGTACACGCTACAAATTGGGACGAAGATAATGTGCTTTTTGAAACCCACAATTTATTATCCCCCATTTATACCTTTCATCGTTTTTATCTTATTCAGCTCACTCTATTTATTTATCTACTCGGGGCCTTGAGGGAGGAAGCTAAGAAAGCAGAACGTAACCAACCCCGGCCGGTGACACCCGAGATCCGGCCAGATCCTCCCGCCGGAGATGAACTTTCCGATCCCATTTCCCGATGAGGTGATTTTAATCTATTTATTTATTTATTTATTTCAATTCTTAATTATATTATTATTAGCTCTCAAATATTATATATCACTTGGTGCAGGATTCCCATCAAGCTAAACAGGGGACTCCATTCGAATTTGGGCTTCTAGTCTTCATCTACGCCACAGTTCTCGGTCGGTGTTATAAATTAAACGAATGTGTGCATTTTGATCAAAAATTAAGATTTGGGATTAATTAATAATTAATAATTTAATTTATAAGGATTGGGACATATTTTAGGGGTGATGTTGATGGTGATAGCACTGATGGTGAAGCTGATGGGGTTCTGCGACGGCGCGGCGGCGGCGGAGGAGGAGGAGAGCAGCAGGCTGCTGTCGAAGGAGGCGGCGTGGATGACGTACGGAGTGTTCGACGACGAAGAAGAAGAAGACGAGGAGTCTGGGGCGGCGGCGGCGCCGCCCAGCCGGGGAAGTTCGAGTGAGGATTTGTTCGACGGAAAACTGTGCGCCATATGCTACGACAAGAGACGGCGTTGGCTTTTCTTCCCGTGCGGTCACTGCGCCACCTGCTCTTCATGTACCAAAAGGTAACGTACCCTTGTCTGTAAATTTGTATGCACATTTAATATACTCGGTAATTGTTTGTGATTTTTTTCTTCACAAATAATTATATTTGGTATGTATAAATTTATAGACAGTTGTACTAATAAAAAGAGTTTTTAATTATTGTTAGTGTTTTTGAATAAAATTTTAACGATACAAATCAACTTTAAAAAACATTAACGTTATTCCCAAATAAATCCATTATATAATCCGAGGTATACTATTAAAGCATACTATACTCCGTATTATATTTAAGTTTTAAGAGTCATAAGTCTTTAGGTAACGTATCTTTATCAGTTTTATTTTTTTTCTCGGAAAATGCAATTTTCACTTGGTAATCAATCGCGGTGGTTGGGCATCTATTTGGTTGAACCGGTTAAAAATTGTGTCATCCATATTTAAAACTTTCTTAAAGTTGAACAAAATACTGCGTCATCAAATTAATTTCATCTTCTCAAGCATAAGAAAAGAAAGTGCATGACCAATATTTGTTTTGAAAAAAAGTACTCCCTCCGTCCCTGAGTGTTTGTCCACTTTCATTTTTGCACACCATCCAATGCACTTCTTTAATCCATTTTATCTTGTAATTTGTATATTAAAAAATTATAAAAAATTATATATTAATAATCTATATGTTAAGACGAATCAAACAAGATCACACATGACTATTTTTAGGCTTACACATTGAGAGAATTTGATGAGTCAAAGTGCTTAGATGAACAGTTCCAAAAGTCAAAAGTGGACAAACACTCAGGGACGGACCAAGTACCTAATTTTACTTTATCCAACAACATTTTTTGATTTTTACGTTTTTAATTATTTTATGTCTAGATATGCGTTCATTATCAATTATTTATATTTCAATAAAAAATCATCTTTGGTCAGACGTCAGGGTATGAATGTCTAGGTTGCGTTTGGCTTTGTTGAAAGATGCTCTTTTTGTTTTTTGAACCCATGATGGGAGTGTTATATACTTATACGGAGTATTATTGTTCTTCTTAACATTTTAAAGCCAATATTTTAAATAGAATCCGTATATGGCATGTTTGGCATCTAGTCATTTGAGGATTCCACATGATTTAAGGTCTATTTAAGATAGCGTTAACATTTTAGATAAAAATTTAACAGCGGATTACTTTGCAAATGTTAACGCTAAATACTGCACGTAGATAGTCTTTTCAAAACGCTAATGTTAATGTCTAACATTATTTACAAATAGGCCCTTAATTAAAAATTGGGAATATGTCTATCCAAGCATGTTTTTTATCCTGGAAAAAAGTTAAGAATTGGAAAAAACTATTAAAAAATTTGAAAAAAATGGGAAACAATATGGGAAATAGTCAAGATTATGAGGGGTAGAAATGTAAATAGAGATTATTTATTAACTGTTTAATAATTGTGGTGCAGGATTATGGAAGGAAAAGCAAAGACTTGCCCCTTTTGTCGGGGATTTATCCACAATGTTTCAAGATTTCTAAACCGCCGGTGAAATTAGGCGGCCAAAGGGCTCATCTCTATTTCATGATGATTTCCTAAATCCTAAGGAATAATGTGAAATGATAATTAACATTCATTTTTAGGTGTGGAATGTGACCATATTTTCTTCTTATGATCGACTAGAGAGGGACCTTTCTGTAAATAATTTTATTCTATGCTTCCTTTTTTAGGTTCTAATCTTAGTCTTTCAAAAGTAGCTATGGGGTACTAGCTGGTTCTCACATTAAAAAAGTTACTCGTATTAAAATGATATTTTATCTTTTGGGAGAAAAAAAAATTACTTTAGTGAATGAAAAAACGAAATCACAAAGTCAAGCGGAACACCGACCCACACAACGTTTGATTCTACACAAATGACTAGACTGTGAGCATTGAACTAACAAAAGACTGAGAGCTACAAGAAGAGGTAGCCAATAAGGCTATAGGATGTGGTATTCACCCTCCTCCACCATCCTAATTTTCAATTCAGCTTTACATCAATTTTTTATTTATTTCTATTACATCCATTTTAGGGGTGTGGAATTGTGGATCCTCATTGCATTTTTGTTAGCTTTATTTTTAAATATTACATTTAAAATATTCGATTTAATTTTTAAAATTAAACCAAAAAAGATTAGAAACTAAAAACTAAAATTAGAAACTAAAAAGCATATAATCAAAACATGAATTTGGATCTAAAATAAAAAAGCTAAGAAGAAGAGTAAGATCCAGATCTGAAATAAAAAAGAAGAAGTCAGTCTACGTGATACGAGAAGGTGTGCGAGAAAAAAGATTGAGAAAAAGGTGAAGAAAAACAAAGAAGAAGGGTGGGAAAAAGGAAGAAAAAAAAATTAAAATTTGGTCAGCATCTTCGCATATGACATGGATGCCAACTCCTATTGGGATCGGCATCCACCTCAAGGCTCAGACACCTAAGGCCTTCGTCACCCCAACCCGTTCAACCTAAGGCTTTACAATCCCTCACTAAAGTACTAAAATAAGACGAAAACAAAGCACACTTATCGAGAAATCGTCTTAACCAGCCTCTACCAACCAACAAAGATCTTAGATCTCCACATTCGGAATCCCAAGTGTCTTGATCCAGCGCCTCTGGACAAGCCATGGTCTCTACAATTAACGGATCCAGAGCGCAATCCCATCAGAAGCAGCATGAAAAGAACCCGTAGGTGAAAATACAACACACCCGAACGCATCTAAAAGAGAGGGACGAAGACGCACTTCCAGAGTAGAAAATGTCACCATCGGCAAAACGACCCTCTCACGTCATACCTTACACAATCACACATACATATGTAGTAGAATGAAACGAGTTTTATATTTAATTCATGATATAATACTCCATATATCTCAGTTCATCCGCTCAAACATCACATTCCTTTTCATGAGAACTGAACCATGTAGTTTTAGCAAAATGCTCTGTCATCTGTGTGTTTTTTGTACTTTTAGGTGGATTAGGAGCTACAATACATCTGAACCATGGGTTGTCAATTCCAAATTTAAACCACAATTTTATTGTGGCCCAGACCAGCCCAGCCCAGCCCAGCCAAAGTAACAACCAGATCTCCAATCATATCTCAGCATTATATGTTGAAGCAACTCAGCAAGAAAAAATACAGCTATGTATTAGGGTCCATGACGCCTCCCTGGACTCTCTCACCTCTAATTCCAGCTCCTCTTCATCTTCCCCACTTTTTCACCCACCACTGTTTTTTGAAAAATTTTATCTCATCATACTAATTGTTACCAAACACACCATATCCAACCCACTTGCATTCACTGAAAAACTCACCAAGTTTCTAACAAAATTGGAAACTCCATTGAGATTCAAACAACACAGTAAAACAAATGATAATACAGATAGACAGTAGTCACCTTTGATCTTTCCACAAGAGTGTGTATATACAGCTTCTGAAGTTGACTGTTTTTTCAAGGAGATATGGCGGGCGAATCCTTGGCTTGTTCCGAGTTCAAACTGTATATATCAACCGGAGTTGCTGTACAGAAACTGTTATTATAATCGCGACCCTCCATTGCTTTGCCATTTTGAGAGCTTTGAGAATGATCCAAATATACAACTACGACTGTTATATCATCGTGATAACAGCGTCTTGTTCCCTTCTCTATTCTTCTAATGTCTTGACTCTTCATCTCCCTCTTCTTTGCAGCCTCGCTCACTGCCGCTCTTGCTAATCTTTTTGCTATTCCCTGTGACAAATTGCACCATTTTTTTTATAAAAACATATCCTGGGACGACTAAAACCACAAGCTTGAACTTTGGGTTGAAATGGTTCATTGACATGGTGTAAAAAATGCTTACGCGTCTTGGGTTTTTAAGGACGATTTCCACTGCCTCTTGATCGGATATCTGTTCCCAAAGACCGTCCGAAGCAAAAATCAGGAACAAGTCTTCTGGTCTTAGCTTTCGCGTCACTATGGAGGGCTCGGCTGACATTACGGCTCTTCTTAGAGGAATCGGACATCCGTATTGTACCAAGAGAGGGTCTCGGCTCATCTCGGGCTTCTTCAAGTACATGTCTCCGATTGACCTAGAAACCTAGTACAACAAAATGCCAAATGTGTGTGTGTGTGTGATTCAAGATTTCGCCATAGGCAATAAAATCCCACACAAATGTAGAGAGTCTAGAGAGGATGTGTGTACGCAGACCTTACCTGAATTATTCCCTTGATTCGCCAAACGCCGTGGGTGTTGACCACAATGTGCTTATCATCAGGATGGAGTGCCACAACCTCCTTCCTCACCTCCTCAACTCCAACATTATGTTCGGTGGACACCCGTTGTGCCACCACGCCGTGCGCTGCTCTCCACCCAAGCACTGCCCTCGAATCCCCAATGTTTGCCACATAAAGAACGCCGTTTGATATTGCCCCCACAAGACAACATGATCCTACACTAACCATCTTAGGTTGGCGCAGCCACGATCGCCTGACCATGTGCATGAAATCTTCCTCAATTGCATTCAAAGCTCTCCTCAACACCTCCTCCGACATGCCTCCTTGCTCCCGTGAATACTCTACACGCACAAAAAAGAAAAAAAAAACAGTCATTGAAATATACTCCTTAAATACAAGAGTACATTGGAAAGTGATCCAAAAATCATTTCCTTAATTTTTTTCTTTTGAGATATATGGAGTAATAGATTAGATAACCCCTAACCTATATACCTCAAAAAAGCAAATTCTCTAACACAATTTTAGTTCTTGACAAAGAATCAACTAAACCCACAAATAAAACCAATCTACGGAGTATATACTCAAGGATTCTACAAAAGAGTATGACAGAATTTAGGAATGGGAAGAAGTCATTCAATTTGGTCAAAAAATAAACTGTATCAAATCACACTGAAAGAATTAAAAGAATAATGAATCTATTGGATTAATCATTATTATATATTCTCTAATTTTCTAATATAGGATGCATCTAAAAAGTAAAGAATTCAGCAAATTTCTAGACATTTCCGCAATTTTTTCAAAAATTCTACAGATCTCAATATTATTAGACATTATTAGGAAGAAAACAAACAATTACAGTAAAGATTAAGGAAATATTGGATGTTGGATTGAAAACAAGGCAAGGGTTTGAGGGAAGTACAGTACTTTGGATGTGACGGAAGAGGTGGTTCGAAATGAAGCGAGAAGCTTCCGGGCCGCCGTGGCCGTCGTAAACGCCGATATAGGTGGCGGAGGGAGTGGTGTACACTTGACCCTGATCTTCGAGCGTAGAATTGGCTTGAATCGCCGCCATGGAAAAGTCGCCGGTGGCGTGGGGTTCCAATTCCGCGTCCCAGGAAAGAACATCGCCGCCGCTTTGACGGCGGAAGCAGTCTCCGAGGTAATCGAAAATACAGCTCCACGTCATATCCCTGTCCGCCGCCGGAGACGACAGTGGTCTACTCTGCTTCTGACAATCTGAGTGGGTGGGTGGGTGGTAGACTGGTAAACGAGGATGTTTATGGTTTGGGTTGGGTGAGGGATGGTTGAACAGACTTCTTGCGGGAGAGGAGAGACCAGAGGAGTTTTAGAGGTAGAGAGAAGCATGAACGGCGTGGGCTGTGTTGATGTCACGGCTCCGTGTTTTGCGCGAGATAAAAAGTTTGAGCTCTGAAAACCAACAAAATGTGCGTACGATGAAGTGGTTGCGAACAACGTAATGGTTAAGAAAAAATGGATTTAGTTTTTTGTACCAAAAAATTTGTATACTATATTTGTATATATGTCACAGAAATGCATTTTCATTTTGTAACAGTGTCATGTTAGAACGATGGTTCATACAGATATAAAATATTTAACGTAATTTTTAATTATACTAATATTTTATGTGAGTGTAAATGAAAGAATTATTTGGGAGGAAATTCTCTGTATTTCTCTCTTGTGAAACTTTTGTCTTGAATACAAAGATCTAACCCTCTTTATATAGGAAGAGGATAAAGTAAACAAGGAAACTTCTATTCCTACTAAAATAATAATTAAACAAACTAGGAAAGATACTAAACCTAATCTCAAAGGTATTCGGTTTCCTTCTTCAATCTCGCTTCTTTATTCTGTCTCTCACACTTTCCTTCTTCAATCATGTTTCCTTCTTCTATCTCTAACACCCCCCTCAAGCTGGATCATGGGAGTTCAACATGCACAGCTTGGACATAAAAAAACGTTCCGTCGGTTCGCACATCTGCGCAAGCTTCTCCGGCAGGTCCCACGTGCAATTCCTACACGTACAAATTGGGAACTGCTCCAAACCTGAAAGAAACGTTCTCTGGGTTGCGCATCTGCGCAAGCTTCTCGAGCAGGTCCCACGTGCAATTTCTACACGTACAAATTGGGAACTGCTCCAAACCACAGAAACTGAGCAACGACCGATGGACGTGATGCCGGGCGATCGTGAACAGTAACCGTGATCAAGAGAAACTGCCGTCGGGACAGTCGACCCACTCGACCGTTCTTTAGCAACGGTCGACCGTTCCGGCACTTTAGCAGCAACAACAGGCGACGATCGATGGACGCAATGCCGATCGATCGGGAACAATAGACGCAGAAAGAGTTGTTTGTCTCCGTAGAACAACCCTTGTCCGACCACTTCTTCAAGAATGAGGGAGGAATAAAAAAAATAAAAAAATCACAATATCCCGCCGGTAGGCATTGAATTGTGTATGCCCACCGGCAGGGGAAGAAGCGTGTTTGAGATCTCAAGAATTCAAACTGACTCTAATACCATGAAAGAATTATTTGGGAGGAAATTCTCTGTATTTCTCTCTTGTGAAACTTTTGTCTTGAATACAAAGATCTAACCCTCTTTATATAGGAAGAGTGTAAAGTAAATAAGGAAACTTCTATTCCTACTAAAATAATAACTAAACAAAATAGGAAAGATACTAAACACAATCTCAAAGGGATTCTGTTTCCTTCTTCAATCATGTTTCCTTCTTCTTCTTCTATCTCTAACAGTAAACTATAAATGTATGATTTTGATGTAACTTTGAAGTATATTCTTTAGTTCTTGCATGATTGAGTAAAAATTCTTGGTTGGGACTTAACCACAATCCAGGTAAAAAAAGAGTAATTCTACTCGCACATGCACACTTCATCCTTAGGTAAACAATATTAATCATTTAATTTTAATATTTTAACATACGGAGTATTGTACATTGTACTCCGTAGTAAGTTATCTAACGACATTATTTTCAAAATTTTTCTACATCCTTAAAAAATAATCTAAAACATAAATATTTATTGAAAATTGATATTCGTATAATTTAAAAATAATATGTTTATTGAATAGTAATTAAGATAACATCAATATATATAGAGAATATGTGTATGAAGAATTCTTACCAAAGTACAAATAAAGATTTATGGTAATAAGGAAAGTAATAAAAGAAAATTCTTAGAATAGGAGGAGAACATATATCATGTCTTCAAAGTAGAAGCTCAAACATAAACTCTCTAGGATTTGAATTATAAAATGTGGTCACACGCTTCGATTTCTCCCGCCAAATTTTTTCTTCGTCCAACTCTTCTTCAATCGATTTCAATCGCCGCTACCATCGCCGAATCACAACATCATCGCCTCCGCCACTATTCACTCCCAACCATCTCAATTTGCCGTTGCTGCCCTGCATGCACCGTACCGCACCCATCTCAAATCTCTCGTCCACCACCCAACCCTTTCTTCAATCAATTACAATTGCCATTGCAGCCACCGCCATGCCCCACGCCTCTCATATTCTTCGTTGTACCGATGCTTAGACTTTTCACCTCCATCTCCCTCCCTCAGAGCTTGATTTCAAAAGTGAGTGAGTTCTATCGATCTTTGATTAAAGTTTATTTTCTTTGAACTTTGTCACAAAAAAATTGAGAAGGGCATTAGATTTGGGTTGCATCATGCCTTGTGATAATTGTAAATTCACATTATTGCACTATATGCTAGCATAAGTGACATTATATATTACTCTATTCGCCCCCCTAAGATGTTCTTATTTTGACTTTTGGTGGTTTTTAAGGAGAGTTGAAAAAAGATGAAAGTTTACCATAATACCCTCAATGAAAATGGGTGGAGTGTATTAAATGAGGTGTATGAGGTGTAATAAATAAAGTAAATGAGGATAGTTGTGGTATTTTAATTGTTAAAAAATGAAATGAGAAGATCTATTGTTACTCTTTGCAAAATTCTATTTATTTTATTTTATTGAAAAATTGACTTAGACTTAAGAAATACAAATTACATATTTCAAATATATATAAAAAAATTTATAAACCAAGATATGACAAAAAATATTTTATTTTATCAAATAATTAAATAAAACACACGAATATATTAAAATTATCGAAATGCAAAAACAGTAGTAACATTGGGGATCTCTTGGGACGTAGGAAGTACATGTTTTTTATTTGATAAAACACACAACATTTTTTGAAATTGATTCGGAACTATGATAAATGATTCACAGATTTTACTCCTTTTTTTTAAGTTTTGGCTTTGATATTTGATTGAGTGTGAAACTACATTCTAACACAATCAGAGTCCTTTAATTAAAAAAATAAACTACTCCCTCCATCCCACTCTTTGTCCACTTACCTTTTGGCACACCATCCAATGCACTTCTTTAATCCATTTTATCTTGTAATTTGTATATTAAAAAATTATAGAAATTATATATTAATAATCTATATATTAAGACAAATCAAACAAGATCACACATGACTATATTTAGGCTTACACATTGAGAGAATTTGATGAGTCAAAGTGCTTAGATAAACAGTTTCAAAAGTCAAAAATGAACAAAGAGAGTGGGACGGAGATAATATTTTCTAACACAATCACTATCCTTAAAAAAATTCGCAACAAAGAAATTCCTTAAGGCCACATTTTTTATTTGCACTGGGCCCAACTACACTTCGGATCAGGCCTGCTATCCGGTCCATTTTGGTCAATTACTCGGTCAATAGTCAATACTAATAAAATTAAAAATATTTATATGTTAGATTACTTAATATTATCGATTAATAAAAGTAGGGAAAAATTACTCAAAATAATCCCAACTTTACCCGGTCTTTCAAAAATAATCCCACCTTTCACTGTGATGCATAATAATTCCAACTTTATTAAAATTTGCCAGTTTTGGGTCGTCGTTAAGTTTCTAACGGAGGGTTAACGGAAATGCTCATTTTAGGCAACAAAATGAAAGTTGAGATTATTTTTGATGAATTTTTGTTTTTTAATTCTTTTTGAAATTTTTATTTAAATTTATTGAATTACTTTCAACCTCCATTTCTTTTTTAAAGATTATTCTTACCTTAGAAAAAAATAGATATAAAAAATAATGAAAATGAAAAAAATAACTAAAATCATACAAAATTAATCAAATAAATAATGTAATCAATAGAAATTAAACAGAAACTGGTAAGAAATAAAATAAATATATACGGAGTAGTGGGTTTTAACATTTTACACACTATACGGAGTCTTAATGTACTACTTATTTTTTTAAAAGAAAAAGCCGTCCGATAAAGTTAGAATTATTGTAGATAAATTTTCTAAAATATAAGAAGTGATATGTTAATACTTTGTATAATGCGTAAAATATTAAAACCCACCCGTATATTTTTATTTTACTTTTACCAATTTCAAGTTAGTTTCCATTGATTACCTTATTTATTTTATTATTTTTGTATCATTTTAATTACATTTCTCATTTTTTTCATTTTTTATATCTATTATTGTTATTTTTTAAACTAAGATTAGTCTTTAAAAAAGGAAAAAGAAATGATGATGGAGGTAGAAAGTAACTTAAAAAATTTAAATGAAAAATTTTAAAAAAATAAAAAAATGAAAATTCATCAAAAATAATCCCAACTTTCATTTTTTTTGCCTAAAACGGGCATTTCCGTTAACCCCCCGTTAGAAACTTAACGGCGACTCAAAACTAGCAAATTTCAGTAAAGTTCGGATTATTATGCATCACAGTGAAAGGTGGGATTATTTTTGAAAGACTGGGTAAAGTTGAGATTATTTTGGGTAATTTTTCCTAAAAGTAGTTTAATTTGTTTTTTCTTTCTCTTATCAATGTAGTTTTCAACTCGAGTAAGCATATATTCTCTCACATTGTAACAATGATAAAAATTTTTAAGAATAATAAAATACTCGTAACATTTATTATTTTATTTAAATTATCATCTGAATAACTGAAATTCCTCACATATAAACAGTGGCGGAGCCATGAAAGACTTCATGGGGGGGGCACAAATTTATTTAAAAAACAACAAAAAAAACTTCATAATAGTAACAACCTTATTTGGAAAAGTGCAACTAAACATACCTTTTATTTGCTCAAATGAGTAAGAGTTTTTTGAGGCCGTAGAAATTTTTTTCGACATGCCAACTTTTGAAAGCGCTGCATAATAACTTCATCATCAATGCTCATAAAAATTTCTTTCTCAAAGTAGCATGATAGACAATCTGATAGCATCTCATCTCCCAAACCATAGTTTTTAGAACCGGACCGGGGGCCGAACCGGCCAAGGTACTGGTTCATTAGTTCACTAGTCGGACCGGTGGTTCAAATGGTCGAACCAGTGGTTCACGCATATTTGAAAATTATATATATATATATATATATATGTATGTATGTATGTATGTATATATATATATATATATATATATATATATATATATATATATATATATATAAACAAAAAATACTTCTTCTATCTAAAAATATAAATAATTATGTTATTTATGATATATGACTAAAGTTATTTAAATATTATATTGAAAATTTTATACTCTTAAAATAGGAGATTTTAATTTTTCAAGAGTTTGTCCAATGTTTTCAAAACTTATTCAACTTAAATATCTCATTGATTTTTTTGGTCAAAATTGATAAAGTTTGATCTTAGATTATTAGACATTGATACAAAAAGAGTTATATTAGATTTAGTATATCAAATATTTTCAAAATATTATTTTATATAAATAAAATAAAATGTATATTTTATTTCAAAGGTTAAACGTTGAAAATAGTTGGCCAAAAAAAGTCAAAACTGGACAAATACTTAGAGACGGAGGTAGTATGTATTTTAGAATACGGAGTAGTTAAAAGTTTAAATTATAGTTACAATATTATATTTTTTAATTTTTTTTGAAAAGAAATCATTTTAGATTGTTTTTTTATCAAAAAGTATATTATATATTTCCACTTTATGCAAGAGATGACACAAGGGGACTTTAGCCAATGTGGTGGATAGGCGTAAGTTGTGATTTGGAGGTCTAGGGATCGAATCTCTACACGGTACATTTTGGAGGACTTTCGCAAAAAGAAAAACACTGGCTGCCTGTTTTTTCCGGTTCACGCCGGTTCGTAGCAGAAGCGGTCTTTTGGCCCGGAACGGACCGGTTTGGTCACTGGTTCGCCGGTTCCCGGTCCGAACCGGCCGGTCCGGTCCAGTTTTTAAAACTATGTCTCAAACGGTTGCGTAAATCCGTCTTGACAATATTCATCGCAGAAAAACTCCTTTCAACTGAAGCTGTCACAACAGGTAATATCAATGCCAAAATTGGAGATATTAGCAAGAACTCGATCACATGAATTGAAATCTTCTGAATATAATACAGCAAGTTCTAATAGCCGATCTTGATCAAAACTCACAAAACAATTTGAAGGATCAAGACACATTACACATCTTAGTAAATTTGTGTTTGTCTCTGTGAAGTGTCTATCCATTTCTGTTGCAAGAATATCAATGACCTAACATCAAGTAAATAATAATAATAATAATAAATTAACAACTTTCTTATGATATTAAAATACTTCCAAAAAAATCATATTAAAATTTAAAATTAATAAGAGTAATATACCTTTGCAAAGATCTCTCCACGAAAATGTACATAGTTTGTCATGGGTTCACCACCTCTCATCTTCTTTCTTGATCGCCCACGAAGATAATCTTCCATGTTAGGTACATCAATTGCATGTTCTTCACAAAATTCACTAACTTCTTTCAAAAAGTCATCCCAACCATGATCTCTAAAATCTTGCAAGTTCTTTTTTACAACACCAATCATATTCAAAGCACAACCAATGTTTTGATCTCGTGCTTGTAACATCTTTGATAAGGTGTTAGTCATACCTAGAACTTTTAACATAAATTTTCCGATAAAAACGAACTCAAAAGAATCCATTTTATCAAGAATGCCACTAGCACTGTTTTTAATTTTGGATGTTTCACCATGCTGGTGTTACAAATTCAGCACTGTACCAATAGCATTCCACATATCAAAAAGACGAACAAGAGTTTTGTAGTGAGAACCCCAACGTGTATCACCTGGTCGAGCTAAACATGTTGCTTGGTTTTGCCCCCTACCAGTTGACAATTCACCTATTTCTATGCAATGCAAAGTTTCCTCCTCGTGTACTTGAAGGAGATAATCCTTCCGTTTGCATGAAGACCCAACTGTATTAACAATAATCATCAAAAGCTTTTCAAAGAAATCAAATATGCTCTCCCTATCTTGTGCAGCTGCTGCAACAATAACTAACTGAAGTGTCTATCCATTTCTGTTGCAAGAATATCAATGACCTAACATCAAGTAAATAATAATAATAATAATAATAATAAATTAACAACTTTCTTATGATATTAAAATACTTCCAAAAAAATCATATTAAAATTTAAAATTAATAAGAGTAATATACGTTTGCAAAGATCTCTCCACGAAAATGTACATAGTTTGTCATGGGTTCACCACCTCTCATCTTCTTTCTTGATCGCCCACGAAGATAATCTTCCATGTTAGGCACATCAATTGCATGTTCTTCACAAAATTCACTAACTTCTTTCAAAAAGTCATCCCAACCATGATCTCTAAAATCTTGCAAGTTCTTTTTTACAACACCAATCATATTCAAAGCACAACCAATGTTTTGATCTCGTGCTTGTAACATCTTTGATAAGGTGTTAGTCATACCTAGAACTTTTAACATAAATTTTCCGATAAAAACGAACTCAAAAGAATCCATTTTATCAAGAATGCCACTAGCACTGTTTTTAATTTTGGATGTTTCACCATGCTGGTGTTACAAATTCAGCACTGTACCAATAGCATTCCACATATCAAAAAGACGAACAAGAGTTTTGTAGTGAGAACCCCAACGTGTATCACCTGGTCGAGCTAAACATGTTGCTTGGTTTTGCCCCCTACCAGTTGACAATTCACCTATTTCTATGCAATGCAAAGTTTCCTCCTCGTGTACTTGAAGGAGATAATCCTTCCGTTTGCATGAAGACCCAACTGTATTAACAATAATCATCAAAAGCTTTTCAAAGAAATCAAATATGCTCTCCCTATCTTGTGCAGCTGCTGCAAAAATAACTAACTGAAGTTGGTGGGCAAAACAATGAATATAGTATGCATTCTTGTTTTCATTAAGAATAAGTGTTTTCAACCCATTAAACTGACCGCGCATATTTGAAGCTCCATCATAACCTTGACCTCTTAGTCTTGAAAGGGACAATCCATGTTTTGCAAAAAATTCATCAAATGACTTTTTAAGAAACTATGCAGAAGTCTCCTCAACATGAACTAATCCAAAAAAGCGTTCAATAATCTCCCCTTTATCATTCACAAATCTCAAAATTACCGACATTTGCTCTTTCACAGAGCAATCTCGAGCTTCATCAATCAAAAGAGCAAAGTTCTTTTTTCCTATCTCATTCAATATGACATTTCTCGTTTCCATTGCACAACTTTCTATAATATCTATTTGAATGGAAGAAGATGTCATTTGATTATTTTTAGGAGCATTTATTTGCATGACTTTGTCTGCAGCTGCATTAGTCTTACAAAACCAAGATATGAGTTCGAGAAAATTACCTCGATGGATTGAACTAGAAGATTCATCATGCCCTCTAAACGCTAAACCTTCCCCTAGAAGGTATCGAGCCACTTTTACAACTGTTGCTAACCGAGTACGATAATCATCTTCAATGTCAACAGTGTTAGTCGATAAGACATAATCTATGTTCTCTCTTTGATTAAGATATTGCTGAACTTTAATTCTATAATAAGCATGAGAACTTTCATTGGTTCCTTCATGGTCAACAAAGGCTTTTGGACCATCTTTCCAGTTGCTAAAAGTAAAAGCATTTGATCCATTTTTATTTGTATTTGCAAACAAATAACAATGCAAACAATATGCTCTATCCTTGGCAACACTATACTCTAACCACTTAAACTTATCAAACCAAACACTTTGAAACCGTCTTTTTTTGTTGCCCATCATAGTTTGTGGAAAGTTATGCACCAATGGCCGACATGGACCTTTTGCTAAGTATCTTCTCCTTATGACATCTCTAATTTCCAACGGATAACTATTGATTGGTTTTCTTAATCCCGGATCAGCAACAATATCATCATTTGAAATCACACTTTCTTTCTCTAGAGATGAAGAAACTTCTTTTTCCTTGCCTTTATCATTTACAAATGTCAAATTCTTCTTTTCTCTAATAACAAATTTATCCATCTCAGGTCTCAAGATTACCTAATTAAATAATAAATTAACAAAATGAATATACAATAACATTTAACAAATACGGAGTATTTAAATATCAATAAAAAAATTAGGGATCTGCCTAAAAATTAGAACAAGGGAATAAATTAAAGTATTCAAAAAAATAAATTAACAGTATTCAAGGGAAATTGAATATACCTGATGAGAGCCTTCGTATTTGTGAAGAAGAAGAAGAATTGAAGAAGAAAAACTCAAAAAGTGAAGATGATTGGATTTTTTTTCACTTTGCCGCACGAACATGAGAGAATAGAGACAGTCACAGTGCCTTTTTTTTTGCTTTTGCTTTGCCGCACGAAAAAAACTAGGGAATTGTTAATGACTTAATGGGTATAGCCATCATTTGGTCAAACCCTTAATTCTTTTTTTTAAAAAAAAACTTATCAGCTACGACGTCGTTTAACTCTTTCTTTTTTTTTCCGGAAATTGCAGCGGGCTTCTTCTTCTTCTTCCCTGTGCACAGCCGCCACAGTGCATGCCTGAAAATTTGGGGGCACACCAAGCCTTCCATCGGAGAAGGGTTACACTATTACTACTTCGCCGGAAATTCGCCGGGGGGCACTTGCCCTGGCAGCCCCCCTCTCCTCCGCCCCTGCATATAAAGCTAATGAAATACTCCCTCCGTCCTATAATGATCTTTCCGGTTCATTTTATGAAGTTTGACCGACTTTATTTTCAATTCAATTTATTTAATTATAGGTGTAAAATTAAAAAATAAAATTTAAATATTTAAAAACTACATCAAAAGTTCTATAAAATAAGTAGTGACAAGACTATATTATTTTATCAAATACCAAATGAAAATAGGTAAAGAAAGTGATTAAAGTTTGACCGTGTAAAAAGTGTGTGGGAAGAATATTATAGGACGGAGAGAGTAAATAAAGATTTTCAAGTGATGAATAAAAGTAAAAAGAAGGAAGATTCATACTAAGGCTAATGTTCTTTTCTCTTGAAGAACGAGGCTATTACTTTTTTTGTTAACATATGGGTTGGGTTGAATTTAAATTTCACCGCCCAATCCATTCATCCACAATTCAACATTTTAGTGGGTTGATTCTTCTTGCCATGCCAACCGAATTTGATCATATGTTGACTAAAGCCCTAAGATTTGCAAATGTTGACTAATGGTTCATACAAAGTACGATGCATTGACTTGACTCCTTGTAGTCAAAATCGGGCCGAACAATCACACTGTACCCCTGCAATGGCCTGTTCAAATGCTTGGCCCGGTCCAGCAAGATCAATCCTATGGTAGACTCGTGACCCATTTAGAAATTAATTTTGTCATTCATGCGAATTACCTAGTACTCGGTCATAATTTAAATTGCATATTTCACTTTACAATGATTAACAAAAATTACTTTCAAATCTCTTTATATGAAAAGTGGTGTAGAATTAAGAAATAAAAATTATATATTTAATAATTACATCAAAAGATCTATAAAACCTGTGATGACAAGACTACATTATTTTATCAAATACCTAATAAAAATAAAGAAAGAAAGTGACTGAAGTCTGATCTTATAAATAGTTAACATGCAATTTAAATTGGGACGGAAGAAGTATTAACTACCGTCCTTAACATGGAAGCTTTTGAATATTTGAAGGTCCTGCTCGAAAATATATATTAGGTCTAAAATAAAAAAACGTCAAAGATATAAAAAATCATTTCGCCTTTAAAAATGTAATTATATAGTTATGTATTTAAAAATTAACGAAATAAGAATAAAATAATAAAATTGCATCAAAATAGAGTAAACATCAACAATGACATATTGAAACATTGACACACTTAGATAATGACAATTGACAAATTAAACTCTGTCACCGGTCGTCAGTTAGAGAAATGTCACATTGACAAATTACAGTGACGTGATTTTTTTTCACTTCTACTTTCATATTTTTTCTTATGTATATATATTTTGTATTATTCAAAAACATTAAAAATTAAAAACAATTTATCAAAACATTATCAAATGTTAACATTTTGTTTCTATCCAATATAGAAATTGAGAATGACCCTCCAAAAAAAGGATGGCGAGGACAATAATACCAAATTAGGTAGGCATGACTCTCCCCTCCCCACCCGCACGGGTAGCCCAAGTGGCAAGCACTTGGTGAAGTTTGAAGAATGACCAAGGATCGAAACCTGGCAGCGACCATTGTGGGGACGACCACCTCTGAAAAATGGGGGGAGTCTCTGGTGCGCACTAGGATATGGTCTAGCTAAGTGTTGTGCTTGGGTCACCGTGATTTACCTCCTCTCACAATCCCGTCGGGTCGGGGGTGAGGGGCGCCTGGGGTGAGCGATTTCACCTTTTTGGAGAATGATTCTCCCCTCCCCGGCAAGGCTTGGTGGAGGGTATGAAGGGGTAAAAGAGAGAATCCATTGATACAAAAAAGCAGAAGAAGATGGGAGTTTGATGAGGGAGGAATGAAGAGATTCACACTTTAATCATGAATTTATGATATGACCCCTGCATTTTGAAGCATGCCCAACATTTCCTTTTTATTCATAATATGTCAACCCCCCACTAATCACGCGCCCTCCCCCTCTCCCATCATTCCTTCCCTTTTTCCTCCCCTTTTCTCCCCTCAATCATCATCACACTTCACACCCAATCCTTAATAAACCAAATCACCACTCTTAGTTATCCCCTCCACCACAAAACACTTCTTGCCACAATAACATATATGTGAGTTATAATTTTATTCTCTTGGTAAAAGAGTAGTACTTCATGCATGGACTTACAGATATCTCATACTTTACATAGTTGAATCTTATAACAGCTACCAAGCTTCGAACTCTAGATCTCCCTCTTTGAGATTGAACTCCCTATTTATGCCTCTTGGAGTTTTTAAGATACTCGCTCCAATTTGCATACGAGTGTATTTGAGATACATATAGATAAAAATGGGGCTTAGATATGTGATAGACTAGTATGCAGGTTGGTTGGGATACAAAATTTCAAATTTCCTAGCTCTTTCCTTAATCACTTCATTAGGGTAACTCTTGATTAATCCTTCATTGTTCCACATAGAATTTTTTTTAAAAAAAAAACAATAAGAACACAAAAAAGCATGGAGTTAAAAAGCAAGATTAATGGTTAACATTCCGATCTACTCGGTGTTCAGTGGCAGCATCTCCGTCCAGTGAAAGTTGCTTTAACCATTCAAACGTTCGAATCCGTGACATGGATTGTTTTCCAGAAACCACTCGATCTTTCTTCTTCTTCTTTTTCTTCTTGTCTTCTTCTCCATTAATGTCGGATCTCAGAGGAACGTTTTCGACCGAATTAACAGAGCACTTGCAGGTCTCGAAAAAGGCCATGTTTTTATGCACGAAAATCTGCTTCAGCTTCTTCGTGACGGCGTTGCTTCTGCTGCTGTCAACACTGCCGCCGCTGCTGACGCTTCGGACAACCTTCGAACGGTTGTTGTTGTTGTTGTTGTTGTCGTGGTCTGACTTGTCCCGGCTCGTTACTCGGGTGAAACTCCGTGACCCGAATTCGGGCATTGTCACGAGCCCGACCCGAAACAGGGTCCAGAGCGCGGAGGAGGAGGAGCTCCGGGGGTGGCCGTTGGACGAGGCGGTGGGTCCTCGGGAAGAAGCCTTGGGGAGCCGAATATGGGGCGTCGGGCTCGGCTGGGAGAACTGGAACCGGTTCCAGGATCTGGGCGGCTTGCCGCTTGCGGCGGCGGACGAGGTGGCGGAGCTGGATGACTGGTGGCTTCTTGTGCTGCTGCTCCGGCTGCTGGCGCTGGTCGCGGAACGACACCGTTCCATGGAATTGCAGCGGAGTGCGGCGGAAGCGGAATCGGCGCTGACGGAGTGTCGCCGGAGAGGCAAAATCTTGCCCCGAAAGAACAGCTCGTCGGCAAGACACATCTCCGACTCCTTCATCGAACCGGCCAGCGAACAAAAATCAAATTCTCCCTGTTCCGACTCATCGCCGGGAACAGGGGGTTCTTTCTTGAATTGATTTTCCTGTTGATCATTAGGTAGATCACTTAGAGATAAAGCTTCATCATCATCATCATCATCATCATCATCCAGTCTATTTTCCTGTTCTTGCTCTGCATCATTCTTCCCCGGGGAATTCGAAAGAACCCGTGGGTTTTGCTTTCCCATGAGGAAAGCTTCAAGAAATGATAATGAAATCTTGGTGTTGGCGCTTAAATCCGGAAGAATAAAGCTTTATTCTTTATGTTGTTGTTTGGGAGTGGTTGTGCGTAAGGTTCAATTTAATGAAGAAGACGAGTTTTGGTTTCAGCTGAGACTGGAGCTCTGTTTTTACAGGCTCACAAGTCCTTATAGCGGGAAGATTCTATGGTTGGAGACTTTAGTGGGGCTACTTTTCTTTTTTTCTGTTTTTTCTTAACTTTTTATTATAAATATAGAAACTGAGAGTCAATTTTTATTGTTGAATGGATATTGTTGCTTCTTAAATAAGGATTAAGGAGTATTATTATCAATATCAAAGATGCTCAAATATCACTAAGTTTGAAGTACTAAAAATTTGATAAGTGTTTCACATGTAGTATACTAAGACAATACTCCGTAATTGTTTGTGTCACATAAATAATACTCCCTCCGTCCCGCTATATTCGTCCACTTTTGACTTTTGAAATTGTTTATCTAAGAACTTTGAGTCATCAAATTCTCTCAATGTGTAAGCCTAAATATAGTCATGTGTGATCTTGTTTGATTTGTCTTAACATATAGATTATTAATATATAATTTCTATAATTTTTTATTATGCAAATTACAAGATAAAATGGATTAAAAAAGTGTATTGGATGGTGTGTAAAAATGAAAGTGGACAAATACTTTGGGACGGAGATAGTAAATGTCTAAATATATTTATGAACACATTTAATGCTGAGTTTCAAATTCTATTTTGAGTGACATCAAAATTAACCACACATGTTTGGTATAAAACTACAAAAAAAAGTGGGATTTCCATCTCCAATGGGAATTCTCATTTTAAAATATAACCGTGCATGTTTGAATTAATATGGTTGTTCCAGTTAAGGTCTAGATCGAAAAAACTAATCGAATTGCATGTTAGATCCAAACTGAACCAGAACGGAATAGATATTAGGTTGCGCTTCGATATGAAAAATTTACGCTTTTGGGTTTTCATTTCGGTCAAATCCAAACCCGAAATAGTTTTTGTCTGGACCAATTGGACCGACTAGACTTAATAAACCTAATGGACCTAAAGACCTAAATACTAAAATTCTAATTTCCATGTTCGGTATTTCACGTTGATATTCTATTTTGATAGATATCTTAATTTATCTAATTAACAAAGTTTTTGTAATAAGTAGTTTTTTCAAACAATTCAAAAAGAAATTGTTTCGCGTTAGTTTTTATGATTACACATGGAAGTAATCCATGTTTTTTGTATCTAATCTGGTTTGTCCATTTAATTTTATTTTTTCTTATTTGCATGGTACAAATTAAAAAGCCTAAAATATGATTAATAGATCAAAATAATTACAAAATATATTTGTATTCGGCCCAATCGACCTAGACCGGTTCGGTCCTAAGTATTACGGTCTGGTTTGGTCTAATACCAAATAGGTTTAGCTTCGGTCTTTGGTCCTTGATTTTCTTCAATTCAGAGCCCATTTTCACAGCCGCACCGATCTTTTTTCGGTATACTCGAGGTATATACCGTATGAATTTTATGTGTGTCGTATCGGACATCAAATACCTCAGGAACGGCCTTGTTTGAGTGAATAATTAAATATATATTGAGAAAAAGAAATGGGTTAGGAGTATTAATTAATTTAAACGAAATCCGATGTGCGAGCTGTAAAAAAACAAATGTATCCGCCGGAGTAGTAAAAGAGTGAAGTAAAAGGCAGGAAATATACCCGATCTTCAAGGCGAATTTAACTCTATCTGGAGTTCTTACAGTTTTATGGAAAGAAATTAAAGACTCCCGCAGGGTCTAAGCTTGTTGAGTTGTCCTTTTCATCGACTAAATAAGACGAAGAGGACCCAAAATGAAACAATTCATGTTATCATTACTTTACACAGCACAAGTCTCACATCTTTCCTAATTGTGAATTAACTTGTCAAAAAACTAACTCAACTACAAGCTCAAGCTTGTGGTTGTGGCCCAGGAACAATTATTTACGGAGTATATTCTAACACGCCCCCTCACGTGCAGACGTAATCTTTTTCGAGCCTTGCACGTGAAACTTTAATTTTTTTAAACTGGGTGGCGCTGAGTTTCGAACCTATGACCTCTTAATCAACGAGGCACTGATACCATGTGAAGGAACCAATTCAACTACAAGCTCAAGCTTGTGGTTGTGACCCAGGAACAGTTATTTATATTCTAACACTCTCCCTTGTTTGTCAAGGTGTCCGTCTAGACATTCATGGTATCAGAGCAGGTTTTGGCCCACCTCATTTGTCAAGGTGTCCGTCTAGACGTTCATTCCTAGCGGCCCATTTGTCTTTAGCTCAGTTGTCTGTATGGAGTATGTTCCCAACGGCCTGTGGCCCGTTTAATACGATTGCTCGTCTGGAAGTCCATACCCAGCGACTCGTGGTCATTTAGGTGTTGGCGCTCAAAAAAATCAAGGGGATGGGAGTCCATTTGCAAGTGGTCAACCGGTTAGATTGAAAATGACCCGGTTGTCAACTTGAGGGGAGTGTTAAAGAGTATCCCACATCGGAGCTTGAAGAGAAAATAAACCGGTATATAAGCCTTGAGTTGAACTAACTAATCGATTGGATTCAATCTTTTAATGTGGTTCAACCTAAGTGTCTTATGGCCCAATCCAGTTGTTCACACCCAATCCTAAAGTCTATCATAACTACATTTGGCTATATATTTTGAGTGATTAGTACACACATGTATCCCATTTGTACACCATTATTGATCATAATCATTGATTATTTATTTATTTTTTAACTTTTTTTCACACTTGAGATTGTGTGGTAGAGACAGAGTGATGTACATTTGGACACACTTTTTGGAGTTCATGTAGCGTTTTTCATATACTTCCTCCGCCCCAAAAAGTTTGTTACGTTTAGAAAAAACTGCGTCCCATAAAGTCCGTTACATTTCTATTAAAAAACTACTTTTACCCCTTACTTTTTCATACCCTACCTATCACATCATACCTTTTTTCTAATAATCTATCCATCACATCCTACTTTTACCCATCACATCAAGGGTATTTTTGGAAAGTCAATACCAAAATATCACTCCCTTAATTTCCCAAAAAGTCAAACCGTCCCATTCTTTTTGGGACGGAGGGAGTATTTTTTAGTCTTAGAATTTTAAAAAGCTTGCATATGTTTCAAGTTTTTTAAGATACGGAGTAATCAGTATCATTAAGATATTATAGTAACGAAAAGGATAACACAACTTAGACTGTTTGAAAAATTGTGCCTTAAAGTAGGTAATTTTGAAAGATGAAAAAATTGCAACGTGCTCCTAATAAAGCTTTTCAAAGATGAAAAAAATGTGCCTTAAAAAGGCAATTTGATTTTACTTTTTAATGATGACTCATCCATCATATGCTCCACTCGTCTCCAAAAGATTGCTAAAGTTTGCCTCTTTTTGGTAAAACTGTGACATTTTTTTACTATAAATACGATATAGTTTAAATTATTTAAATATAATAAAAACTTGATATTTCAAAACTATATTTTAAAATAATTCCAATTTTACTAAGCTTACATTATAACTAAATATATTTTCTTCATAATTTGCTATCAAACGGTGTCATAGTTTGAACCAAAAAATTAAACTATATGTGAAAATCTTTTAGAGACGGAGGGAGTACATTATATCTTACATTATTATAAACGACAAAATTAGAAAATAATATTAATATTATACATTTTTAGAATGTGCATTTTTTGTCTTTGAAAGGTCTAATCGTGTCTTTTTTTAGCATTTTGTTGCAAACTTTATTGGTTGAGTTATAGATCTATATATGTTTCCTTTCAAAAAAACACATCACAATAAAATCAAATTTTAGCAAAAAAAGGTTCAAAAATGAGTTTCAAATGGCTCAAATCTTCACCAACATTTTTTATGGTGTTTATGTTTGACTCCATATTCTTTCATTATAAACTCTTATATGGATCTAGCTAGGATTTGTTTATGTGAAATAATCTATATATATAGTGCACCTTAATTAGGTTCTTATGATGGGAAGACTTTTCAGTAAAAATATGCATGCGTGCGTGTACGTAATTAAGGACAACGACACGCAATTAAGATTAGTTCATAATTAGAATTAGAATGATATCCTCATATATTGATGCATGGCTAGCTAGCTGGGAGAGATTTATATTTTTTAAAAAAAAATCCTATAATTGTATTAATGTTTGTATATTTTGTCTTTTTATCTGAATCGGATATGTACGCTTAGTACTTACATCTACCCAGTTCCAAAAAGTACAGTTATATATATTCAGAAAATCTTCTGGAAAATAAATAATGTAGGTGCAGGCTTATATATATATATATATGCACACACACACACACATATATATATATATATAAAAGAGAGAGAGAGAGAGAAGGGAGCTTCATGGGAAACCTGGGAGAGACAATATATATGATGTGAATCCTTTACAAATATACTCCGTAATACTTTGGGAAATGCTTGGTTTACAAACACAATTGTCACAAACTTCACAAATTTACTATTTGTGAACTCTAATAAAAAAATTAAATGGTCTAAAATAATTTTAAAATGGGAATTTAAACCATAAATAATACGGAGTAAGTTTGTGGAATTTGTGAGCATAACATTGCTCTAATACTTTTCATGCATGCATATATAAGAATGGCTTATATCATATCTTTTGGTGTGAGCTGAGATGTCACATGGCGTGGCTTTATTTACCAGCAACGAATATTACCTACGTATACATTGCATGTTATATTTCAGTTATCCATTACCCCCCAAAACCCAACTCTTAAAATATTGTTCGATCGGCTTTATACACACTTTTGTATACAACAAAAGGAAAACAATAGTATGTCATATCAACGGCCGAATCAATATTGTCTAAATATTGTAAATGAGAAATGGTCCGGCGCCATTATTTGGCCACAACTCACAATATATATAAATATATACGACATGTTTTTAAATGTTAAATCACACTTCAAATTTTGTGTAACATGATGCATTATAAACCAAAGCAATTAAAAAGTTTTGGAACAACATAATTCGCGGAGTATATTTAAGGGAAAAACTCTTATAATTGCAAATCACTATTCTCTTTGC